GTGCCCTGGCTCCGCCCCTTACACAAGACTAACCAGAGATGCAATCTCATCACACAGAAGCTCTAACCTCCACATGACCATTACGGATTTACAACCCGATCATTTCTCTAATTTTCTCACAATCAACCAACTGAGCTGTACTAGTTTGAATCTCCATTCATTGTTCCAATGAGTAATGTCTTGGCCGGTTTTGAGGTAGGTTTGTCGTTTTTGTCTGAATTCTGTTGTTTCCGGGTTGGAGCCACAAGAAGTTAGAGTGGATCCGAGAGAGAATTCAACAACTGCATGCATTGAAGTGAAAGGAGGAATGAAAAGACATGATCCAAAATGAAAGGGCCCGAGTTCACGTGCGAATCCCATGGCCTCGTACAGGGCATGACCATCATGGCATCATGGCTCTGTGTCGGGAAGTGAAGGCGGATTCCATAATTGGACACGTGAGACAGCTGGCTCGCACCCGTGGGACACCACATCAGCACCCGACAGCTTGTCGGGCTACACGCAGATGTTTTCGCACTAATTATGACTTGCATTACAATAAAGCTAGATGTTAGATTTAGGGAATATAGATAGATAGATAATTAGGAAATTATTGTTGAATTTTAACAATTTTTTTCGACGCTTAAATTCCTCAAACGATAATTCATTTGAAGGATTGATTAGGACGATTTTGTCATTATTTGATCATTCCTTAGCATCATTTTTTCTAATAATTGTAATCGGATATGACATAAAGTATTCCTTCACTTCCATAATGTTCTTTAAATTTTTATTTGTGAGATGTCAATAGAAGTTTCATTTTCTTTTCCTATTAAAAACATATCTAGAGCCGGTTTGGTAATGTCATTATCGAGAGAAACACCGCTCAAATTTATGAAATTCTGATTCTGATGATTCTGATGTATTTGATTCTGATGATTCTGATGTATTTTATGAATAAAATAAAATAAAAATTATATGTAAAAATAGCTAAAATAGTCCTCTAAATTAACTTTAATCAATACAGTCAGAAAAGTAACTTCAAACTTACCTTTTTTATTATTACGCAATTCAATGCGTGAAATAAAAAATTACGCATTCAAATTAATTTGAGAACACAAAAATGCGCAGTTATCTTTAAGATTTAATTTGAATGTGTTCCCGATTGAATTTTTAGCTGAAATTTGGTATGAGTAAACTAGACTTGGTGAATAAGATGCTCAAAAAATTTCATCAAAAAATTCCACCGGGAACTGCCCCAAATCACGACGGCCGGACAGAGCCTCCTATAGAAGGACTTAATTGACCTTTTTATGAAAGTTCGATGACCTATTTGACAATTTTCCCTATGAAAAATAATACTCCACCAGTCACTTAAAACTTTATCATCTTTGAATTTTTTTGGTCAATCATGTTCAACTTTGACCAATCATATATTTTAATAGAAAATTATTTATAATTTAAAAATTATATGAAAATGTTCTTTGTTAAAAGCACTTTCGTAAAAGTAAAACTTATCACTTTCATAACATTATACTAATCAAAATCATAATCCAAACTTTACCATAATTGATTTGAAAAGTCAAAGATATATAACAAAGAATGTTTTCTTTTGGACTGTTTTCAGTCTCAGACCAGACCAGACTCAAACAGACCAGACCAGACCAGACTTAAACAAACCAGACCAGACCAGACCAACAAATTTCGGTCCAAAAAATAAAACATCCAAAGTTTGAAGGGAAGAAACTTTCCTTTGGGATGTATGATGTATAAACACGAATCTTCCCTCTTGAAGAAGCTGTATTTCAATGATCAACATCGCTACATCATTCAAGCATTAAGCATACATTGCCATATCCACACAGACATGCATTAATATTCATTTCTACAATCTGTCATGCACGCAACTATACATTGAATCAGAATCAGTATGCAGTTATGCATCGAGTCATCTATTGGTATTCTTTATTGCAACACATATAAGATTTGACATCGCTTTCTATTCAATTATTTTCAAACATAACATTATATCTTTAATTAGCTTTTCCCTTTGAGGTTCAGATAGAAAGGATTGAACGTAATAAAAAGTAAAAGAAAATTAATTTCCAACCAAGTACACTACTAAAAATCTGGACGGATCTGCAAGTATTTAGAGCATCTCCAATGCTAAAACGTTAACGGTGCATACGTGGCATCCGAACTAACCAATTAAAAAACAATAAATAAATATCTCTCTCCTTCTTTCCACGGTCTTATGTGTTTATGGTAAGTTTTTGTCTGCAATGTCAATCACAATGTCTACATCTAGACATTGTGCTTGACATTGTGAAGAAAAACTTACCAAAATGACGTAAGATCCTTCAAATAAGGAGAGAGATATTGTATTTATTGTTTTTTAATTGGTTATTTTTCATGCCACGTATGCACCGTTAACGTTTTAGCATTGGAGATGCTCTTATGTGTGGAAATTAAAAGTAACAACTCTTATCCGTATTTATTAAATATATACTCCTTGTTTTCCTTTTTTAGCAGTTCCAAGTGAAGTTCTCATTTTTCTAAATGGAAAGTTATCCTACATCAAAACAGTGTCAAACGGTGTCGAAACAGTGTCAAAATAGTAAATTTTATCTTCTGATAAGCTTATTTCCTTAATATGTGTGTAGGTCTAGGAACATCTTAGGGCACGTAGGTAGTATAATTTAGTGCTACGAGAGTAACGACCACAGCTAGCCATTATATAATTTTAAGAACGTACCATTGGCCAACATGACAAAATTTTGAGGTTGTTTGGAAAGAAAGAAGATGGTCTGATCATCGGCCGCTTTTATGACCAGTTTGAAGTAAAATAGCTAGTAACTTAGGATGTTTTCTTTTGGACTGTTTTCAGTCCCAGACCAGACCAAACTTAAATAGATCAGACCAGACTAGACCAGACCAGACTTAAACAGACTAGACCAGACCAGACCAGACTTAAAGAGACCAGACCAGACCAGACCAGACCAGAATTCCGTAGTTATAAAATACACAGAGACCAGACGTTTACCAGCCCAGACCAGACTAGTTCAGACCAGACCAGACCAGACCAGACTTAAACAGACCAGACCAGACCAGCAAATTTCAGTCCAAAACAAAACATCCTTAATTATTTAATCTTCCAATATTTTTTAATTTCTATTCAAAATTTTATTTCTCTTTCTATTTTGAAATCATTACTAAATAATCAACTAATGAGGTAAAATTAGAGGGTATATTACACTTTTAAAATAAAAAATACTCCGTAAAAAATAAAAAAATAATTGCGCAAAAGCTACTCAAAGCAGGTTCTCATATCGAACAACCAAAATCAAACTAAAAAAGATGGTTGATACTCAAAGCAGGTCCTCCAGTTTCTTGTTTGTTTTTCATTTTGTAATAAGCACTATTTTTTTGTAGTTCATCATCTCCAACTCTGAAATTATTTTCAATTGCATTAATGTACTAAAAACTTTTAAATTTATTTATTTTTAATAATTTTATTCAGGTTAGTATGAGAATTTGTTAAGACTCAGAGTCTCATCTTACAAGGTCAATCTGATAGGAGGAGTAACCTAAAGTCTTATATAGTGTTTTATTGTGTTAAAGCTTTCCGATGTGAGACAAATAATACAAATAATCATGAGTGCTGAACAAGTAATCAAACTACAATAGGAATTGACTCCGATACCATGTTAAGACTTGAGATTCTATCCTAAAATGTCAACCCGATAGGATGAGTAACCCAAAAATTTATATAGTGTTTTATTGTTTTAAAATTTTCCGATGTGGGACAAACACTCCAACAGAATGAAATTAATGTAAACCTGATTATTCACTTTGTTAAAATATGCATTAAAATCTTCAAAATAATAAAATTAAATATTTTTAGATTAAAAAAATCAAAGAAATTTATTAGTCGGGATCAAAAAAAATTAAGCGGGCTCGAGAGAATAGTTTGATAAAAACCCGTACTCTGAAATACTCCGTATACGCTTTATACTCCGAATCAATTCTCCAATCATTATGGTGATAGCAAGTCTTGAATGGTTATTGTATTGGCTTTTCTTATGTCGTACCAATAATTGGTCTGTAGGCAAATTGAATAGGATGAATAGTAGAATCAATCATTAGCCAAATACTTCATCCATCTATCCCGGATTTTTTGAAATTTTCAAGCCCAATTGTATTACATCTCATCCGTTCTTTTTTAATTGCAATATAGGACTTTTTGTACTGTTTACATATTTTATTTTGACTACAGTTTATTTATTAATGTATTACGAATTTATTTTTTAAAAAATATTGTTAAATTCTTCTCATTCTAAATTTTCAAAATATAAATTTTTGAAATTTTTGACTAATAAGGATTGAAAGATATTAATGGTCAAACTCGTGCGTTGGAAAACGTAAATATTGACTGTTGCAATTAAAAAGGAACGAAGAAAGTATTTGAATTTCACGAATTTAAGCTCAATTGATAATAAAAAAACTGAATAAACTAAATTTATATATTCAACTACATTAAAAGTTTTACAAATTCACAATATATTCTGATTAGAATATACTCCGTACAAAAACCAATATGTTAATTAAGTACTTAAAGTGAAATTGTGTTAATCAAGAAAGGTTTAGTTTCAAAGCTTACTTTGTTTGGACTCGACGTGGGAAGGATGAAAAAGCCCCTAACATTTGGAAGTTCTAAGTCAATGTTATTTTCTGATCCAATTGAAATCGATTGCATGTAAGCGTTTTTTGCTAACAGTTAAGCGGTGATCCAAAGACCTTTAATGGACTAGTTGAAGTTGCAGACACACTTTTGTACCCTGGTTCAAGCCATTTGAGATTGTCCGCTTGATGTTGTTATATAATATCAAAGGAAGGTATGGTTTACTAACATTCTTGTGCAGAATTGGAATGTATATATTCATGGTTCGGCCCAATTTCAAATTGCAAGGAAACTTAAGATGCTTAAACAGCCTCTTAAGAATTTAAACAATTTGGAATTGGGCCACATTTCTACTAAGGCAAAGAATGCGAAGGTTGAATTTAAAAGACTTAATAAGCTACTGCTTGCCTCACCTGATGATGCCGAGCTCATGGAGCAAGTGTGTGAGGCGAGAAAGAAGGCCACCTTTCTAGGAGAGGCCGAATGTAGCTTCTTCCAACAGCGTGCAAAGGCTACGCATATTCTTGAATCCGATAAGGGCACAAGATATTTTCATGCTATTGTCAACAGGAACAGGGCCAAGAACACTATCACCTCTGTTATGTTGGAAAATGGCAGCCTTACTACGTGTATTGACCATGTTGGAAACGAATTTGTTAAATACTTTGTTGATTTATTTGGAACCGAGATGGAAACCATTTCCCTTGACCAATCGGTACTTGGAACCGACCCCTTGATTGAACAAGATGTTCATGATAGCCTATTATCTCCGATAACGGACAAAGAAATTAAAGATGTTTTGTTTGATATTGGGGATGATAAGGCACCGGGGCCGGACGGTTATTCCTCGGCCTTTTTCAAGAAAAATTGGAATATTGTGGGGGGGGGGATGTGACCAGTGCGACCAAGGAGTTTTTTAACTCGGGGAAGTTGCTTAAACAGTTAAACCATACTGTGATAGCATTAATTCCCAAGTCTAGTCACTCCCCTAGGGTCTCAGACTATAGACCCATTTCTTGCATGAATGTGTTGTACAAAATTATTACGAAGATACTAGCGGCGAGAATTGTCCCTACCCTACCGGGTTTGATTAATGAAGCACAAGGTGCTTTTGTCGATGGCCGCCTAATGTTTGATAACATTTTCCTAGCCCAGGAACTTGTTAGAGGATACAATAGGAAGCGAATATCACCAAGGTGTATGATCATGGTGGATTTGCGAAAGGCCTATGACACCATATCATGGGATTTTCTCCGTAATGTCCTATTGGGACTGGGTTTCCCGGCCACATTTGTAGGCTGGATTATGGAATGTGTGTCAACTGCATCATTTTCGGTCTCTTTAAATGGCTCTTTGTATGGTTTTTTTAAAGGCAAGCGTGGCATACGGCAAGGGGATCCAATGTCCCCTTTGCTTTTTGTCTTATGCCTCGAATATTTCTCTCGCCTCCTCACAATGAGGACTAAGCAGGGGAGTTTCAATTTCCACCCACAATGTTCGTCTCTTGGTATTACGCATTTAGCCTATGCAGATGACCTAATGCTCTTCTCGAGAGGTGACACATTTTCCATAAGAATACTGGTTGATGCTCTCAAGGAGTTTGGGGATGTATCCGGGCTTAGGGTAAACCATGACAAATCCAACATCTTTGTTGGAGGGGTGAGGGACTTGGAATTACAAAACATCTTGGACCTCGTTGACTATGGGCAAGGCACGTTCCCGGTTAGATACCTTGGAATCCCCCTTGCCCCCTTAAAGGTCTCGGTTGCACAATATGCACCTCTAATTGAATTGATCCAGGATTTCCTAAATGCTTGGAACACAAAAACAATATCCTATGCTGGGAAGATTGAGCTAATTTGGTCGGTAATCCAAGGAGTACAATCGTTTTGGCTCCAAGTCTTTCCGGTCCCCCAAGCTATTTTCGATAGAATCGTTTCCATTTGTAGAATTTTTTTATGGGGAGGGAAGTTTGCAAAAGTCGCATGGGATGATATATGCCTACCAAAGGCCGAAGGTGGGCTAGGTATCCATAATGCGAAAGTTTGGAACCATGCACTCCTTTCACGCCTTATCTGGGACGTTCATAACAAAAAAGATACCTTATGGGTTAAGTGGGTCAATGGTGTCTACCTCAAAGGTAGAAGTGTGTGGGACTTTGTCCCACACAGCCGGGATTCCCAACTAATGAAGAGATTGGGTCTAATTAGAGACAAACTGAAGGGATGTTTTAACAATTTGAATGATACCATCCTTGGCCTCAATTCAAGGGCCATAAATGGGAAATTAGTCTCGGGAAAAATATATGATCTTCTAAGGGTAAAGGGTGAGACTAGGACTACAATGAACTTCATTTGGAAATCCTATGTCCCCCCGAAGTTTTCCTTTAACGTATGGTTGGCTTTGCGAAGCCGGCTTCCTACACAGGATAGCCTCGGTTACCTATATATTGTTAACAGATGTGATTTGTGTAAGGGTGGATTGGAAACAATTCCACACCTATTTTTCCAATGTCTTTTTGCAGGAAGGGTATGGAGTCAAATTAGAAATTGGATGGGTTTTGGCCACCAAATGACCACCCTTTTGAGCTCAATAAAGTGGATCATGAAGGAACATAAAGGCTCAAGGCTAAAGGCGAAGGCGGCAAGATTGGCGTTCTGTGCCACGGTTTACTACGTTTGGCGGGCTAGGAATGCGTGTAGATTTGATGGAAGCATGCCAAAGGAAGAAGAGATCGTCGCGAAGATAAAGCATGTGGTGTACAAAATATTGTACTCTCTATACCCACATGACTTGATTGGATTTTGAAGTTTGGATATGTGAGAGAACATTAGGGAGGCCGCGGCATACGACTTGGACTTGAATGGTTGCAACCCGCAACACGATGGCTATTTTTTTGATTTTATGACTTTGAGGTGATCTGTGTGCGTGCATATTGGCAGCACCGATTATTTTTGATGTTTGAGGCATTTAGTATTGTATACTTAGGCCTCTGTTTTTGGGAATTAGATATAGATCGAATAAAAACCTCTCTTCACCCCTACACTAGGTAGGGGTGGGGGGGGGTTAGGAGATCTAGCTCTTAGTTTTCTTGGATGTACAGTTTTCTTTGGGTGCTAATATATATTTACATTCATCCAAAAAAAAAGAAAGGAAGGTATGGTTTGTCTGGTCAAGGGTTTAAAACCTTGTTAGAAGTTTTTTCCGATGTTTGGCAGTCACCGGTTGTTTCTAATCTGGGTTTTAAATATTATGTGTCATTTATTAATGATTTCTCTCGATATACCTGGGTTTACCCCATACGTAGGAAATCTGAAGTTTTTACACATTTTATTAATTTTCAAAAACTGGTTGAAAATCTTTTGAATACTAAAATCAAAATTTTTCAAAGTGATGGTGGGGTGAATTTGGTAACACTATGTTTACCACGCATTTTTTAAATTCAGGCATTTTATTTAGAAAATCTTGTCCTCATACTCCTGCTCAAAATGGGGTGGCTGAACGAAAACATAAACATTTAGTTGAATTAACTAGGACATTATTGATTGATGCGTCTATTCCTAGTCATTTTTGGGTTGATGCTCTTTACATAGCCACGTTTATTGTTAATCGTTTACCTACCCCAGTTTTGCATGGAGTTTCTAAATATAAAAAACTTTTTAATAAATTGCCTGATTATAATTTTATGTGTGTCTTTGGTTGCTCATGTTTTCCAAATTTTATTGCGGCCTCTCACAATAAACTATCACCACGTTCTACGCATTGTGTCTTTCTTGGCTATGCTCCAGGTTATAAAGGGTATCATTGCTTATCACCTTCCACAGGCCGGGTTTATGTCAGTCGAGATGTGATTTTTCATGAAAATAATTTTCCATATAATTCTTTAATAACCACATCTTCTTCCCCGACATCAACCGTCCCTTCCTCTTGGCTTTCCTCCTCTGTCTCTCATGGTTTTCGTCCCCCATCCAACCCACACCGTCTGTCAACTCCATTACCTTCCCAGACACCAGCTACACCCCCAACCAGTCCTTACACTAGGCCTGCACTACCCCACAACACTCCTCCACGTGCGGAACACCTACTGCCAATCTTCCCAGCAGTGGGAGTCTAGGAAAACGGAGGCGGCATACCAAATAATCTATATGAATCAATGGGCTGAGATTCCAAGCGTTGCCGAAGAGTTGGGACGAGTGGTGATCTCGGCTGCGTAAGACCATACATCAGTGCCGAAAAAGTCATTGATGATGCAGGGGATGAGACCGCGTTGTTGGAACCGACATCGAACGAAGAGCTTGTGCTGATGTTGGATGAAGGCAGCTCCGATGGAATGGGCGCCTGGGAATTCATGACTGTGGTGGTCTGCGGCTGCACCTGCGGAGAAGAGGGCGCCTGGGAATGCATGACGGCGGTGGTAGGATCGCCGGTATTGGTTGAGCGTGAAAGAAAAAAATAAAACCTAGGCGTCTGATACCATATACGAAATAATAATTTTGGGAATAATGGTTTGCCCTATTGGGTGCATGCCTTAGCCTTATATTTATAATAAAACAGAGTTCTGAAGAATCACAAAGTAATCCCTAAATATTACATTATTAGTTTTTCCTATAATAATTGCATTCCAAAGGCGATGTATGAAGACAAAGAAATTAGAGAACTTCTTCTTCTTGTACACACTTTTATACCCACCTCATACACACCTCATACAAGACCTATTCAGATCAGATCATACTTAAATAAAAAAGACCAGATCAGATCATAAAATTTTAGTCTGGATACAAATATTCAAGCTATAAAATCCGATGATGATGAGAAAGATAAAATATTAAAAAGAAAGAGGAAGATGAGGATAATAAGCTTTTTTTGTTACGATATCCGCACCAATCTGATTTCCCCAAAGGTTTAATAAAAGACTCTATGCGAACTCAAAGGCATAAAATAGTTATTGAGGGACTTTTTAAAGCAAATGCACATTCCCCTCCCTTTTTTGACATGATGAGGGAAAAAACCTTTTTTCTCTACCATGGCTCAACTGTAACGACTTTTTAGAAAATGATCATCCAGAAATTAGTTCGGTATTTTAGAGTCTAAATAGGAAAAAGAAATAATAATAAATTTTCTAGAATTTTCATGTATAAATTGTCTAAAGAGGAAATAATAAATTGTCTGAAGAGGAAAAAGAAATAATAGGCAGTTTAACATAAACCGCCTACAAAAGAGAGGTAAAAGCGGAAAAGGATAGTATCACTGGACAAAAATACCTTTAATGATTATCTATCCCAGTACTTAACCATTAGACTAGTATCGGCAATTACATTGTCACATACATCTGGTGTGCAGGCAGAGAATCCATAGCAACGCACTAGGTAACCTCCTCCTCCTCCTCCTTCTTCTTCCTCTTCTTCCTCCTCCTCCTCTTCCTCCTCCTCCTCCTCCTCCTCCTCCTCCTCCTTCTTCCTCTTCTTCCTCCTCCTCCTCTTCCTCCTCCTCTTCCTCCTCCTCCTCCTCCTCCTCCTCCTCCTCCTCCTCCTCCTCCTCCTCCTCCTCCTCCTCCTCCTCCTCCTCCTCCTCCTCCTCCTCCTCCTCCTCCTCCTCCTCCTCCTCCTCCTCCTCCTCCTCCTTCTTCTTCTTCTTCCTCCTCCTCCTCCTCCTCCTCCTCCTCCTCCTCCTCTTCTCATCTTCTTCTTCCTGATCCTTGTTTCTTCCTTTTTCAATTTTTGTTTATTGTTAATTCATTTACTATTTCAGATTATAAATCAAAATACTGTTTTGAATATGAAAGTTTGAGATAAAAATGAAAATTCAATGAACGATCATGATCGGAAATATTTGGATTTGGGGTTTTATTACTTTTTTGGTTTTGATTAGATTTGTTTATGAAAAAGCCATAAATGCTTACTGTAAAAAATGTCACTTTTATGTCATTATATTATATGAAGATGTCAATGTTTTAATGACATGTTTTTTGAATGGATTGCCAAATGTTGTCATTTTTAGCAATATTATTTCCGAAAATGCCATGATGATGGAAGTTTCACATAAAAACATGATATTCTTAGTTGTAAGAAATATAAATTTTTAGATTAAAAATAATGGCAATTTAAGGATGATAATTCTGACATCATTTGGAAAACATGTCTAAAAACATGTCATTTATAATAACAAGTAGTTATGTCATTCTCAGATAAGTCATAAAAATGCCATAAGCATGACATTTTCTTATGGACATGACTTTTTCAAATTGTCATCCTGATAAATATACAGCCACAAATGTGGCAGCCTTTTCAAATAACCAATAATTTTGGCATTCTCAAATTATAAAAGTAGGATTTTGCTGAATAAATATAATTCAAATCCAAAAAATCCAAATTAGAATATAAAATTGAAATCCAAAAAATTCAAAGAAGAAGAGAACAGAGGACTAGAAATTTGAAGAGGAGGAGGAGGAGGACACCTGTAATCGTTGGAGGAGCCTACAGCAGCTTCGATTTGGAGGTGGAGGATAACTATGATCGTCGACGGCGGAGCTGCGGTGCGTGGCCATAGCCGATGGTGGAGCTGTTGTCCATGGGAGGAAGGGATGTGCGGAGCTGCTACGATGAATTCTATCGCAGCGACGAATTGCAGAATGGGGGCAGAGCAATCGATGATTTGCAGCGGAATTGAG